GAAGTGTAACAAGAATCAAACTCGTAAACTTCTGAAAAAGTGAATATTTACGATAAGGGAGTTTGAATAGCTATTACAAAGCTCATTATTTGCACCAGATTCAGTTGGTGATCAGTTGACTATTAATTTGCTATGTAGCTGTATATTTTAGTGTTCTTGTTCAAATACACAAATTAATATTTTCAGTGTTTGTTTGCAGATAAACAATATATTCGTCCCATCCCTGCAGCCAACTGTACTGCAGAAACGTCTTAGAATACAGTAGTAGTTTTGTAGAAAATGTTTTTTTTTTAAGTTCTGCATTAATGTGGTTCATTAATTTTACCCATTTTTTTCCAAATGTTTTTTTTTTAATTCTCATTTAAGCTTCTTTGGCTTTAATAAATGCAAACATTTAAAAATGAGATTGCATAAAATGCTTGTAGTAATAGTAGTGTTAGTCTCACTTAGTGCACCAGTATAACTGTGACTTGTTTTGATCTCTGAGACATAGTTTTCAAAGAAGTGAACTGTACGGCTGGATAATTTGAAAGGGATTTTGCCAGTGGCCTTTGAGGAACATAAGGAAGGAGTTCTGCTAGTAACATGTTGGTTCATCTCCATGTACATGTGAAGGAGGACTTGTAGGTTGTGGAAATCAGGACCGAGGCTGGTTCTTTCTTGGGGAAAGGGATGTACCTAACATGAATGAACTGAAATGTAGTCACTTTCAGGATCTGTCTAGAAGACCTGAATAGGTGATATGTTTTAGTTTTGTCCAACAGTAGTAGTATGATTTCTTAGTGCTCTGAGATAGATTCTCCTAGACAAGAACTGTGTAGGTGGGAGCTCAACAGTAGGATGGTTTGTTAGCACATTGTGCTGAGAGTGCCTCCAGTGTGCAGAATGATTCATACCGTGATCTTCAATCGCAGGGTCCTTTGGTGCTCTTAAAATGTTTTGGCCCTCACTAGTTTGAGTCGATTTCTTCCATTCTCTTCTCCTTATTTATGAATTGTTTGAAAGGCACATACAAACTCCTTTTCAGTAGTCACAATACTGACAGAATCTAAGCTTGAAAGTGCTAATTCAGTTAACATTTGTTTATGTGGAAAGACACATCTGTTCTGATCTAGCTGTGCTCGTGACTTTCAGCTGGAATGTCTGAAGTTCCTGATTCTTATTTTAATCAGTAAAGTCAAAGACAATAAGTTTTAATACTCTATAGTAGGAGAATACTATGTGATATTCACCTTTAGAGTGAGGATAAAAGATGATCCATCTATTGTTCAGTTGCATAATACTTACTCTTAAAGGCATTTTACTGAAACTGGTGTCTTTTTTTCCATGGTGTGGGGGAAGTCATGAAGTGGCCTGCTGTAACAGACTGTAGACTGTCAAGAGTTGGGGTTACTTTGAGCCTATCCCACCTTCCTTTATATTCCTACATATGGTTTCAACAAACAATTATACTATTTTTTTTCCTATGGAAAACTGCTTTATTGGAAAATATAAGCTAAAAAAAAGGTAGTAATTCAGTCTTGCGTATCACAATATGTTGTATCAAGTAATTTTTTATAAAAGTATAAAATAATAAAGGAAGATGCTATGTGGTAATTCTTTACTTAAGCTTATCTACCTGTTAGAATTTTATTTCATATTGTGATAGGCTACAATAAATTGCATGTTCTTAGTGACATCATCTTTTCAAAATACTCAGATTGCTTACATTAAATGGACAAATACTTATTTAATATATATTTTTTTTAAGATGGATCTTCTGGACTAGCTTACTTCTACTGATATATGGAAGTTGGAAAGACAAAAGAATAATTAAGCCAGTTATTCAGCACTACCAGAGGTGCTGCATATGCTTGTGTGATAGAAATGAAGTGTAGTTAAACAGTGCAAGGAAATGTATGTTGCTTCAAAGAGTATGGCAACTAATGTGCAGGAGCAACTTCTAGGGGGTGTGGTTGCTGTATTGCTAAGTTGTCATAACACAAGGAGAACAAAATAACTGCTCACTGCTTTTGTGACAGTACTTTGATCCTTGTGGAATTTAAGCATAGGCAGAAATGTGAGCTAGGCTAGTTTACTGTAATCCCATGGAGCCTCTTTTGTTTCCATCTCAAGTACTTCAACACTGGACGAAGATAGTGTTGAAATTCCTTTGCAGCTTGTCAATCTCATTATCAGGGAGAAATTTTTCCAATGTACTCTAGTGTGAATTGAAGTTGACTATAATTCCCTGTCTTCTCTTCCAGTTTGCAGAGGAGAAGGCTAAGTGAAGGAAAACTGTATTTGTCTCATTCACAAACATGCCTTTAATTCACTTAGCTCAGATTTCAGACTGTATTTCCTATTCACCCTCACTGTACCTCCCTCTTAATATACAAGGTATTTTTTTAGTACTGCTTCCTTGATAGCTTTTTCTCCTTTTTTTTCTTTCTCATTTATGTTCTCCTGTAGGACACTTTTTCCATTAATCTCTGCTGCTAATTCTATTCTCTCTCTTTTGTTATTCTCCCTGTAACCATCATTTTTCTCTGCTTCACACAGTGTTTTCTCCCTTTGCTCTGTACAGATGTCCTTTCCACATGCTGTCTTCCCTCAAGATTCATTTAGTTAAGAACAGCTTGGTTTTGAGACTTCAGGGCTGGCAGTTGCTATACAAGTTGTTTCTGTGACTGTCACCAGAAAATAGGGTTAATATTTTTTCCAAGGCTAGCACCAGATAGTTTTCCTTTATTCCTTGACTCATCTGGCTTTTTTGTATTTCTCACCATCAGCATATTTTATTTGAAAATAAAGGTGTTGAATTTGAAATTAGTCTAGAATCTACTACTTTATGCCATAAGTTTTTCGTGATTTATGCTTTATGGTTTTTTTTGCTTTTATCTACGTTTCCTCACTGACATCACAATTCACAATTGGAAAACAATTAAAAGTCCTCCTCCTTTTTCCTCAGATCTGTCCTTTCTTTTTCTGCCATAATTTTCCCTCAGTATTTTTCCCCTTATTCTTCCGTATGTTTCTTTCCTTCCTAATTCTCTCCTTCCTCGTTTTCCCAAATTCGTTCATCTTTGCCTCGTATTGTCGTTTTCTTCCCTGATTGCCTCCTTTTTAGAATCTATAGTGATATCACGCTCCTCCGAATCACTCCCAGCAATGCTTCTCCACATCTGCCCATGGTATTACTGCACATTTATAAATGGCTACTGACTCTACAATCAATAACTGCTTTCTTTTTTCTCCCTACAAAATGATTTCTGCCCATGCTGTGTTTTTTTCCCTGCAAAATTGATTACTGAAATCCTGATGAGGTATAGGACATAATATTGATGTCAGAGCCTGAACAAGTAGTGACTACAGATGACTTGCTTATGGGGGAAAAAGTAATACATGGCCTAGATTTTTACAACATACTCATATTGTAAACAAGCAATCACTTGAGAATGCTAATTCTTTTTTTATTGTATCCTGTATATTCTGTATCAAGCATCTGATAAGCATATTCCAAATATGCAGTCTGAAATGTTGGACTAAATGTTAATGATATGGTATAAAAGAAGGTATAATCTATTCCTACATTGGTCTTCAAACATTTTGTTTTTCATGATTTATTTAATTATAATTTAAATACAGCATTTATTATTATGGAGGAAAAATCCTAAATGGAAGCAGGTATTAAAGTGTCAAGATTTTCTAGCTCATACGCAATGTTTTGTGTTTCTAATTTAAAATAAAGGCAGTTTGTTGTGAACATTTAGTATTACTTTGTCAAAAGCATTGCAAAAACTAGAATCAAAGTGGTCTTTTTGAGGTGAAAAAAGGTGATTTTATTTACAGTGTATGAAGTTATCCCTCATGACCATTTGATGAATTATTTTCAGAAGGAAGCTGGCTTGTGCTCATAAATAAATTCTACCTAAAAAGATTTACATTAGAAAACAATTGCAAAAAGAAAATAGCCTGTATTTAGAACAAACAAATAAATAAAACTTTGGCCAAATATTCAAATGTGAAAATGCAAGAGGAGTTCATTTTTCTTCTGAACTGAAGGTCTTCATCAAGAAATGAAGCCATGCCCAATTTGTCTCACTGGAAGAGGTTTATTTCTCGAGTAAAGACATTTAACTTTGCAGTGAAGTAAAGATTTGAGAGAGAGGAAGTTGTTTCTCAGATGAGACTTTTTCTACATTTGTTATTTTTAAAATATTCTATTATTCTTTCTGTGGCTGAAAATATCATTGTTTGACATCAGTGAAGATCTTGCATACTGATGCAGGTTACATCTTTTGAATATTAATTTCACTGAAATCCAGGAAAAAATTAGCAGGTATTTTTTCCTTTGTTGAAAGATTTGTGGAGCAGCTTCATTAGTGATTTTACAGACTAAAGTCCTGAAAACTGTTATTACATAAGCCAGCGCTTGCGTGAACTGTTAACAAATGCTCTATACAAATTTGCTGTAGAAACTTTATTTTTTTTGCCCATGCTGATGTTAGCTTCTGACTTTATGTACATTACTGTTTAACCTGGGAGTTGTTTCTTGAAAGAACGCTACCTTATTCTGTTTGTTTTGCTTCATTAGAGGTGTAAACATAAATCAACTGTGAATGTTAATAATTCTTTTGGAAAGAAACTAGTGACCTGTAAAATATATTGATGCATGTATCTGGCAGCAAGTTCTATTATGAAGCACAAAAATACAGTAGTTTCAAATGTATTTAGCAATTTGTGGAGTGAAGGTTAGATTTTTCGTAGTTCATCTAATTTGATATTTTTTTCTAAAAATAAAACTACAATGGATCACAATCTCGTCAACTTTTCACCACTCACCTACAATTAAATGTATTAAGTCTTACGTGCAGATGCTTTCACATTTGTGTGAACTGATGCCAGTGTACGTTGTCATGAAATCATCTTACATTTTGCAGTAATGCTATCTGTCAGATAATTTGACAGAAATATCTGTCAATTAATAAACTCTAATATCTACTTCTGTTTCATTTCAGTGCTAAGTCCAAAGGTGATAGGCATTGCCATTGCAAGGTATGACTTCTGTGCGAGAGACATGAGAGAACTATCCTTATTGAAAGGTGATGTTGTAAAGATTTATACGAAAATGAGTGCAAATGGCTGGTGGAGAGGTGAAGTAAATGGAAGGGTATGTTTTTTTTCTTTCTCTCATTTTGAATGACATTTTGAAAAGCAAAAACAATAGGGAAAAAAAAAAGAAAACAAATTTTCCTACATCATGAGCCTTTTTGTATATTTAAGTTCACAAGATGCAACAAGTTTTCAGAACTCTTTCTGGATAGCTTTTCTCAGCAATTAATTTGTATTATTATTATTATCATCATTATTATTATTATTATTATTATTATTATTATTATTATTATTATTATTATTATTATTATTTATTTTATTTATTTATTTTTTAACGTGGCCTCTAGGCTGAATGCTTAGGCAGGATTATATGGGTGGAAAATAACCAGGATTAATAGTAGAGCTGTAGTTGAACTTCCTTGAACTGTGTTGCATGGATTTGGGGGTGAGATCAGAACCTCTGGGTCTGGTTGAGTTCCTCGTGCTGGAAATCTGGTTTGCAGATTGGCACAGAATGATTCCCACCTCACTGCCAGAGGTGAGGTGCACAATACTGTGCAATGAGCCATGTTTTTCTTAGGAGACTTATGCTTTTGATCTCTAAAAAAATCTGGTTGAGATTAAGTGCAATGTGCATTTATTCTACTTCATCATAAGCAGTGATTTTTACAAAGGCACTTAATGCTGTATGCTGTGACTTGGATGGCTTTGAATTCATGGAATATTAGATCTGAGCTATAAAGGCTATACTGTTTGAATCTTGTTGTATGACGCCTTGATGCAGGTTAGTTTGGAATACTTATTGCTTCTGTTTCCAAGTTTTAAGGGCTGAGATGCAAGGTCAAAGAGGACCTTTTTTTCCTCTCCTGTTTAATGAGTGAAGTGGAGGAAAGTGACTTGAGTGGAAACTGGAAATGGAAGTCTGCTTGAAGTAGATGAAGAAGGATATATCCAGATTTAATGCCTTATCCATTTTGGAGAACTTTTTATGGCAGAAAAGAAGAAATATGGAGTCAGAAGAAATAGTGATCATGACGTGTCCTTTACATGTTGAAGAAAATTTAACATCTCATTCCAGTGTAGCTACACACTTCCTGAAGAACCCCTCTTACAAACTAGCATTCTTTCTGGTAGTTTTCACTGCCTGGAATTGAGATCATAAGATCACTACTGTTTATGAAATCACTTCTTCCAGTCATGTTTAACGTTTGGTTTTGAGCTCTTTCATCAATGTTAAATTGACTTAAATTGACTAAGGTATAAATGAAAAACTAAATGATGAGACAATAATAAATGACATTGCTTCCCTATATGTCTAACACAGTTGTTATTTGACACATAATTAATTTCAAAATGTAGTTAATAGTATAAGTTATGAAGTATAAAGAGCTGGTCTCTGACTTCCAGTTCTGTCTCATTTAAAAGTCCTCTTGTCAAAAATGAGGTTTAACTACAATGGAATCAGTCACTTTTAACTTTGAAAGAAGATTCTTTGGACATGGCTGAAGCCTGTGAAATATTTAACTTCCCATTCAAAAGACAGCAGCATCTTGTAGTAAAAACTACTGAAAGTAAACCTGACTTCTGCTGCAGCCTTTTTTTCCTAAATGCATAGACCTCCAATTTAGGTAAAAGTTCCTTTTATTTTTCTAATTTTTATTTAAAGATTGGGGATTTAGTTTCTAAATTATTATATCTGTAAGTTATCTGTAAGTTACTCTATTTATTTGCTTTTTTTTTTAAAAAAAAAAAGTTACTACCTTAACCAGGGCAGGTCAGACTAGTTTCTTTGTAATAGTATTCTTAGTTACTAAAGAGACTCATCCCTGTTTTTACCTGGTTTGGCCTTTTAAAAAATGTATTATTTTGTTCTGTTTTCTTTTTCATTTTCAGGTGGGCTGGTTTCCATCTACTTATGTTGAAGAAGATGAATGAATTAAACTTTTCTCTGCTGACCAGGAATTTCAGGGATTGTAGAATTTAATAACTTCAAGCATTAATGGTCTTGTTAAGTACTTAGGCAGCAGCATTTTGTCTGTCTGAACCTTCTAGTCTTATTGTTGGGATTTAGAAAGAACTTTGTGTGAACAGATTATTACCTTGCCCAGAGCTGTGCAAGAAACAACCTGCCACTTTGCTGTCACTGGGGATCAGTACAAAGTCAGGTGCTCACCTTCCCAGAAGATTTCAGGAAAACAAATTCCTTTATTCTGTTTTTCTGTTTTTCACCCTGTACTACACCATGAATTGTAGCTATGGCTGAATGTTTAATAAGTCTATTTTCTTCTAGCTAACATCTGTGATGATATGAGGAGATGAAGGCTTATTATTCCTTATCACTGTATGCAGAAAACATAGTTCAGTCATTCAGGTGGACATGAAGTGTAGTCAGTAGATTTTTCAAAATATCAAACTGTCTTACTTATCACCTTGTAAACAGTTATACACTAAAAAAAAACATTCTGAAGTAAATATGAATTTTGTAAGCGAGAGTAGCATATATGCATGTGTAATTAGTTAACTGAATTCTTAAAGGTTTTGCCTAAATCTTCAAACAATTTGTTTAAAGAAGTCATTTCTAAAAAGTTTGGTAACATGATAACGCTTGAAAAATTATCTGCAAAGTGGAATTCTGGGTTTGTTCTTTGTCTTCTCAGCTTTATTATTTTAGCAACTGATAATTTAAGTGAAACCTGAGGGCAATTATGACAAGAGTCATTTTAAAATTGTAAGAATTAGCATTAAATAAATATTGTAATTCTATTGTGTAGCAGGATATACTGATGCAGGATGATTTCATTCCTTGAGAACAAAATTGTATATCTTAATCTCTTGGATGATTCATATGAATTTTGATGCTTCCAACTACAAGCTGTTTTTCCTGGTTAGACAGGAGCTTCTATTCCTACTAAAATCACCTTTTGTGCTCTTAGAAGTTAATGCAGAAGGAACTTGCAGAGTTCAGCGTGCCTGTTCCCCTCTTGTTTCCTGGGATGTTAATGGCAGTGCAGTGAGTGATCTTGTTGCAGTGTTATGAATATCCTTAAGTAATAGTGGAAACCAGATTAGTTAGCTTGAAAGATCAGTCCTCAAAGTGGCATCTGCCCCTTTGTGGGGCAGTTTTTTAAGGTATTTATGGAGTGTCAGAAGTGCTTTAAGTTAAAAGAAATGTGAGTGATGCCTTCGGATTTACTGTTTGTAATATTTAGATCATTTCTAACTCATCTTGAAAACTTCAGAGAAAGTGAAGCTCCTTCTTTGCTTCTTCCTGGCCTCCTGGCCATCATGAAGAACCAAGCACAGCACAGAAGATCACAGTAACTCCCCTCCTCTCTGCAACCATCATATCCAACTGTTACACCTAGCACATTCTGTTATGTGACCAGTTATAAGTGAGGATCTCCTAATTAGAAATCCTCCACTTGTTAGATTCAATTTTGCAGATGGAACTCTGCTGATGCTCTTAACTTTTCAAGGATTTACCTCAAAATTATGTAAACTGTGATTATGTTAAGTACATTTCTTGATGGAACAATTCAGAGTGATTGTAAATATGTACATTATGCATAAAACATTTTGTAAATGACCTGTACAGCAGTGTAGACTGGGATATACTGTGTTTGATCATGTCTTGTCATGCAGTTTTATTGTCAGTTGTGAGTCTGATCCTATGTTCCCTAAGTAGACGAAGTTGATGCACAGTTTTGCCCTCTCAAGGGCTAGAGAAATGGGCTATAGGCCTGTGAGGTGTTTAGTGCTTTGCTGTCATACAGTTTTGAGAAGAAGCAGTTTAATTCAGTGAGTTAAGAAATGCATCAGTCATTCTGGACAGCTTGGATTTAGAATCATTTTGAGTATTCCCTCCATCCTAAAATTGCTGTAAAGCCTTTAAGTAATTCCTGAATCCAGTAATCAGCCTATGAGAACAATGAAAGCCATAGATAAACTTGCTTTTGTGGCATAAATCTATGTGTTATTGTCTATGTTTAATGCCCTGTATTAATTGAGTTAATGCTGCATCTTAAACTATATTTTCAGTACCAAAGACTTCTAGATATTCTGGATATTTCATGTACTTCTTTTGCTTGTATGGAGGTTTTGTTGTCATGCAATGCTGATGTTACCGTACTTTAATTTGTAACATTTTGTAAATATGTTAAGTATAATAAACTGGTCAATTTGTTTTTTTGAGTGTGTGTCAAAATAAGTAGCTGACTAGTATGAAGTTTGCGTTCCTTTTGCCTCACATTCTTCTCATGGCAAGCAGAAATTGATAATATTATTTTGGTTTCCCAGATCTGTATAATCTTAGTTTAGTTGTGGGACTGAGCTGTCATTGTAAATGGGTTGTTATTGGTTTCTTTTCATAGCTGGAATAATTTGTCTACTGGCACATCAAGACAAATGGAGTGTTTTGTTTGTGTTTAACTATAGGGAACATTGTGAAATCAGTCATCTGCTATTGATTTTTATCTATTAAAGCTGATAACTTGTAGTATTTGACTGAAAAAAAAAAACTGAAATGGGTCTATGAAGTTTCCTTTTACGTATCATGCTTCTTAGAAATGTCTTTCCTATTTCACCTTTTTTTTTTTCTTCTGCATTTGTCATATATGGATTAACATACAAATTCTGGTTGAATTGAGCTCTAATCTTGAAAATAATCTGTGTTTACTTTCATGGGCTACTTGAAAGTCTTAGCAGTGTAATCCATTCATACGTTATTTACAATATAAAAATTATAGTGTTTACGTAGGTATTTCTGCACAGGTGAAGTAATTCAGCAAGGTCAGTGATGATACAATTTCAATGTTGCTTCATTGTGCTACTTCTGTTTTTCAGTAGCAAGTCTTTTCTTATGGAACTACCTTTCTAACAGATAATTATTGAACTTAATGAGGCATTTACACGTCTCTACAGATGTAAGGCATAATTTTCCTGTCAGCCATGAACATGTCACATAACTGAGCCACACCTAATGAAAGATGCAAAAATGTTTCTCAATTAAATTCTCTTGTTAACAGTATTGCACTCAGTCACAGATCTTCTCCTTCCCCTTTTATGTGAGAAGGATGCATCCTCTGACGGGTGAGAACTGCAGTTAGGGTACAAGAACCACTTATGACTGGGTACTGGTTGAATTTTTCAGTTGTGAGTCTTGGAAACTCACTTGAAAATCTCAATTTGACAAAAAAGAAAAACAACAAAAAACAACAACAGAAAAAAAAAAAAAAACCACAATGGAAATTATGTTAACCTGTTAACCAGAATATGTTTCTCCTCTGCCTCCCAGGCTAACTCTAGATGTTCTCTGCAAGAGAAGATAATGTCAGTTATAACAGTTTTAGTAGCTCATAGAATTAAGGGAGAGGTACTGTCTTTAAAAATAATAAATAAAAATGTTTGTTCTGTTGACTTCAATGTTCAGTGCAAAAACATTTCCTAATTCACAATCAATATTTTGAACTATTTTGAAAAAGAAGTTGCAAGTACAGTATAGTTTATGCGCTGATGCTGTCATGCAGATCAACTGAACTGTATTGACACTACAGTAGAATCATAGAACCTGAAGGTAAGCACTACACAGCTCACTTTCTTTACAGTGGGACAGGGCAAGAATAAAAATGAGAACTTGTATGCAAATGAAAATAGTTTAATAAGGAAAAGAGAAATGGTAAAACAAAAACAAGTGACACAAAGCCAATCGCTCACCATCTTCCAACAGGAGACTGATATCCAGTCAGTTCAGAAGCAGAAGAGAGCTAACCTCCCAAAAACTTTTTCTGTTTTCTTGCTGGACACGTTATTATGTAGCAGGAATATTTCTTTGGATAATTCTGGTCACCTGCTTGGTTGTGTTCCCTCCCAGCCTTTTGTACACCCCTGATCTATTCACTGGGTGGGGGGTGAGAAACAGAGAGTCTTGATGCTGTGAAAACACTGTTGAGCAGTGGTTAAAATACTTCTTTTGACTCTTTTGTTTACAGATCTAAAAACAGCATCCTATGAGCTGGTATGAAAAAAGCGAACTCCATGTTATCCAATATATCAGGTATAAAAGTAAAATAATGAGTAAACCAGGAGATACTAGGTGTACATGGAATCTGTGGTATTTTAGCAAGCTACGATAGTATCTGTTTTTAGTAAATTCAGCAAGGATCATTTCTCATGCACAACATCAAAACTTTTTACCTCTGCATTTCAGAGGAACAAAGAAGTTAATACATTAACTAGCCTTTCTTGAAATGAGTCATGAGATTTTAGCTCTTACCTAGGTAAGGGAGAAGTAGTTTGGAGTAATTTTGATTTCATAAAGCTATGGGATAAGAGGTTAATGGTATGTACTTTTTCACAATGCTGAAGTGTGTGATGCATATATAATTAATAATAGAAATATAGAAAGGATTAAGCATCAGAAATTGACTGCAGAAGGGTGATTCACTTATGCTTTATTTTAGCAACTTCCTTCTCAAGAACAAAGAGCAGTTTGTTTTCATAGCAAATCAGATTTGAGTTACTAATTTAGTTTTTTAATTCCTGATCTGAGTAGTTTATTGTCCATTCATTATGAGGCTCTCTGCTGCTTTACATGATTATGAAGTTAGATTTCATTTTTCCTGTAATGTTTGAGCTGTTAGTGACTTTCTCTGTTACAGTTTTTTACTTGCCAATGTGCTTTTCAAAAAATATGCAGTTCATTTTAGAATGTTGCATTATTACCTTAAGTAAACATAGTATTACAAGAAATGATAAGTTTGGAGGTGGCTGTTGGTCACGGGGCATAAAGCTGTTTTGTTTCTTTAGTAACTCCATCCTTTAATATGAAACCTTATGACTGTAGGAAAAACAGAGAAGATCAGTGAATAAGAAATAAAGCGTTGATACCATATTATGTGTGTTAGGAGGAGCCTGTTGTGTGATCAATTCATAAAATTCATTAAAAATTGCTCAAAATATTAAATGTTTGATGATAGCATTGGATTGGAAAAAAAACTTTTTCGTTACTTTTGTACTGGAAAGCTTTGCTGATGCAGCAGAGGGATCAAGCACAGTTGGACTTAGTCCCGCTCCTACTAGAGAACTCGATAAATTTTTCTTCAATTAGTTTTATTTTTTCCCCAAAGTAATTATGTCTTCCTCAAGGAAATGCAGTATTGTTCCTAGGATTCTAATTCTTACTCATGCATAAGTCTAATGGAAACATGTATAACTGAAGCAAAGTTTTCTCAGTAGTTTTGCAATCAGTCTGCTGGTATCCTGTCAGCTGAAATGAGGCAGGAGGCCTCCATACGGCTGAGTTGCTAGGTAATGTACAAGCAGCTTTCCTACCTACTCTCACAGATATTTCTTTTTTGCTTTTTTCTTTTTTTCTTTTTTTCTAATGCAAGAGAAGGGAATGCTTACTAGAGGAGTTGGAGGCCATTTTATTCTCTTGGTTCTGAATATAGCGTTGTTAAACTTGGAGTGCTTTGTGTTTGTGGTGGATGAAAGATAAAACTGCCTGGAACTGTGTGTTCTGTTAAGTTCTGGGTGTGGCTCTTTGGTGTCATCAAAATTGTTTAGATGAAAGAGCCTTTGAATGTATTGTGCTCTAATATGGAGGTTTTGCATAATATTTTCAGGAATAGTTCCAACTAGAAGACGCAGTGGCAGGTTTCCTATTCTTATTTTATTTAAAGAATGATCTGTTGCTTCTCTAGTTGTATAGCATATCCAGTTGGATCAGGTAGAGACGAACTGAAATATTAGAATGCTTATTGCTTTTGGAATCCATATAGCATTACATTTTTTCTAGATAGTGAGCTTTGGAAAATCAAGCTTCAGTAATTTAAAGATGATCCAGTTAAAATTTTTCTATCTTTGCAACTTTCATTCACACTTTCAGGGAATGTACACTTTTTTTTGACATTGTCCGAATGTGGAAATTCGGGCAGAGACTTCCTGCCACTAGAGCTTGATTACAACTCCTCAGACTTATAGAATATTAAAAAAGAATAAAAAACAAAAAACAAACAAACAAAAAAACAAAAAAAACAACTAAACAATAAAAAAAAATAACCCTACAAATGTGCAAAGACCCTTTAATATTGTATCTTCGGTAGTAAGCCAGTAAACACACAAACAGGTACCCAAAGGATTTGTATTGAAAATATTGCCAGTCATGTTCTCTCTTTTCCTCCTACTGCAAAATGCTGTAGGGCATTAGGAAAAAAAACCCATTGTCTCCTTGTTTGACTTCTTGTAGATTAATAATAACCATGTCAGCTCTTGGTGGAGCATCCTTTCTCTGCATTTTAAATATGTATGCGCAGATACAATGGTTTATCTCCTAAATGCATCTGATTTGAGTTCTGATTTTTGGATTGTTATAAGTATTTTGTAGTTATCAGTTAAATAAGTCAGTAAGCACAGAAAAGAACTGTAGCCCAAATAATATGCATCTAGGCAATAAGACTCATAAGGCTAGATATTTTCTCTTTTGGCCCTCTGTTAGTAATGCACTGTGAAGAGCAAGAAGCTTTACTTGAATGTCACTCTAATTGCTAAAAGTATTCAGCAAAACATTTATTAGAGAAGGATTACTAAGTAATATTTAATAGGAATCCATAACCTGTTCTCTTGGCTGATATTTGGAGCTTATGTTATGGCTGCTATGTGAAGAACATTGTAGTCATTGAATCTCTTGTATTGGTGGTTGCTTATATTGGAGCAGGTGTTGATAAGTCTTTGTGTAGCACTATTCTGCAAAATGTCAAGATTTGAAGATTTGGTCCACTGATTAATTAAATAAGTTCTAAGAACTATATTAAAAATATCTTGATACTGATTACAAGTGTGTCTGTATGATAAGATTGACATAGTATACATTCAGATAGGCATACAGAATACCTGTTTCATTGTTTTCCATGTAATTAGCCATCATTTGGAACCTTGCATCCTTTTAAGAGAGGATTCAGGGAAAAATCATGTTATTTTCTTGATGCAGGCAGTAAACTTGTGGAGGGTACAGAATTTTCAATTTTTCAGACCAAGAATCATTTTCATTTTTAGAAATTAAGCTTTCTGATGGATACTTAGTTCAAAAAATATTTCATTTCTGGCTTTTTTCTCTGCTTCCTTTCTATCTCTTCCTTTCTTCTAACCATGTGAACAAAAGACTGCTCCAGTCAATCCCGTGTCAGTAAGCAATACCCAGAGAGATGTTTTTTTGCTAGCTTGTATTAAATTATCAGGAGGAGTAGCTTGCCATGGGCAGTAGTTTCATATTATACTCACCAGTGCAAGAAGCATTTAACTGCCTTTTTCCTATAGACACTGTGAAAAATGCTTAGTAGAGCATTAACGTCAACTTGTTGAAGTATGCATATTAAAGCAGCTAGGAACTCTTTCCAGCATAGTAGCACAGTGTGGGGTGAATATGTATGTGTGGGGTGTATATTCCATAAGAAACCTTATGGAATACAGGTTATGTCAAATTCAGTGGCAAAACATGAACTTAAGCACAGTCAAAATTCATTGCTTTTGTGAAAGGTAACATTTTTTTGTAATTGTTTTTTTCTCATTTATTTCTTTGGTAATAGTGTTCCGTATGTTCAATATAGAACATTAATAGGATCATCATGTCACCTACTCAATACTTGTATTTTCTTATGAAAGAATTTATCGGGCAATCTGGATTTGGTTTCTTGAGAGGTTTAGAGGAATTTTGCTTAAGGGGAACTGAACACCCATTGTAACATTTGTTGAGTAATGGAACTTTCCAGAGATTTTAAATTTCAAAATACTTTGTACAGTTCTGCTTAGGTTCTGTTGTGCCTCAGATCACAGTAGCTTGTTAGGAGGAGGGCGAAAATCCCAAACAGAGTTGCTTCTACTTTCAAGATCAGAACTTACTGTTATGTTCTGTATTATATTTGCTTCAGGCTTCTGTGAGATGAGAAATTTCTTAAGCACAGACCATAGGGAATGTAGAATATAGCCAACATCCTCAGAAACAGTTCAAGCTTGACCAGAACTGAAAAGTTTTGTTTTACATGGACTTTTCATTGTCAAAAGGATACGGACAAGTGCAAACTAAAGCCATATGCATCAGTCAAGATGAATGTTCTTGAGAATTATTCAGCTGCATGAGTTTTATTGGTGATAATGCCTGAGGACATGTCTTAGAATAAGTCATAGTTCTCTGGTAATCATGTAAAAACTGTCCAAAAAGTTATATTCCATCTGCAACTCAAGCAGACAGATATTCTTTGTGTAGGGGGGAACACGTTAGCTCACATATATGGAAGCTGATGTTAAAGATGTAGCCTAAAAGTGACACAGAAGTCTCACATTATGTCTGTGGGAGCTGAGCATTCCTACACTTGGACCTAACATCTACAATAATCCTGGAGTATCAAAAATAACGTAGAACAAGAATCAAGATCTATAGCTTCTATCCAGCTCTTTGTTCCATTAAAGGAATTGCTTTGATGACTGGTATTTGGGGCAAAACTAGAAAGATCTGTGGAAAAGAGTTGAAAAACATTAATTGTCTTTATGTTCTCCCTGCTTAGTTAGTCTTGCTTGGGATTTTTGATTACAGTGGCAAATGCAGGAAAGTCTCAAACATTTTCACATTTGTTGAGTTATGAATTAGCCACAGGGCAGCAAATATCTGTTGGATGAAGATGGACTGTCTCACTGTTCATGAGTTCTTGAGGCTGAGAAGCTAATGTCATGCTTATTAACAATGTTTCTGTTTTTTTTTTTTTAAGGCCATACTTTATCTGTCTGCTTTAGAAATTGTGAGATTTTATTATTATTTGAGATAACAAAAGATTGTCAAGAATGGTCTTACATGTGGCAAAGCCCAAATTAAGTTGAATCCTCAATCCATACATAGATGAAAAAGCAAGCAGTGAAAAGTAAATGCTAAAGAGCTGTATGTTCTTACTGATCATAGAAATGCTATGCAGCCAGAAGAACAAAATTAGGGAACTTGACAATTGAAATCTACAGGGGCACAGTCAATTTGCTCACCTGAATGGAAATAGGATTTTATTATGTTACTGCAGCTACTAGAGTATCTGAGACTCAATGTTCATTTTTCAAGTCATTAAAAATATTGTGGGGGATTTGTAATTTCTGAGTATTGCAGAAATGGTCAAGAGGGATTCTTTTTTAAATTCCATAGATTAAGAAAATAATAGTAAAAGTATTCTGTGTAATAATTGACACAAAGCATCTACCCATCACTGTTACCTTTGTCTCCTTTGGGCAGGAATGTTTATGGGCTCACAATTACGCTTGAGCAACAAACTCCTTTTGACCAGAATGTGCTACTCACTGGTGTGCTTTGGACCAGCAAGTGCTCACTGGTTAGTAGTTAAGTAGTACTAGCTAGATAAGCTTTCATATTTTTAAAATTCTGTATATATATCAAGCAAGTATAGTGAAAGGGGGTAGTATCGTGAAAAGCTGCCTGAATGGTAAATAGTGACATTTGTCACAGGTCATTTTCTCCTTCCCTAATCTTCCCCTTAAAAACTGTTGAAAACTAGAGTTCTTTGGTGTTACTTATATCAGAGTTGGAAAGTTTCTTACCTTACAGAAGGTGGTTCAGTGGCTGCTGTATGAGATGTGAACTGTTGATTTGTTTAGCTTGCTTCCTTAGTGGCATGCATTCCTGGCGCACTGGAGTTGGGAAACTGTTTACAGACACTGTTCACAGCAAATCTGAATTTCCTATAAGCAGCTAGTATTTTGTACTTGATTTTACATGCAAATCAATAATCTTTTTGCTGTTGAGCAGATCCTGTAATTTCTAATATAACTAGACAAGCAGTAGCATGAATATATTATTGTCTAAAATCAGGTGCTAGAACTAAACAAATGGTTTTATTGATTCTCCCAGGATTTATTAACATTTCAAAGAACCCCCACCCACTCGCTCTGTGGCCTTGTGAATTATCAATACTCTGTAGACAGGGCTTCCTTATTAGGTTTTGGTACTTTAAGAATAAGTAACATCAGACTTAAGGACTACAGTTTTTACACTGGGAAAACTATGTACTTTTAGCAAAGATATTACTGTCTCAGAGGCTTTTTTTCCCTCCTTGTAACAATATTAGGTATGGATTGATTTAAAGAAATGGAGAATTGTACTGCTGAAGCAAAGAATAATGGTTCTGAGAGTTGGGGTGAAGGTTGTGTGTCTGCATGTGACAACAGTGATATATGTAAATAACAATAACAAATTGGTGGACCCAAATGGCAAAATGTTTAGGAGAACTGGTAGAACACAAAGCAATATTTCATATTCACAGAATATGCTTCCACCTACTGCAAAACACGATCCAGTTGATCAGTAAGTGTGTTTAGTCCGCAGGTTGTGAAGAGCTGCTGTTGCATTTCCACCATCCATTTGCCCTGTGGCTAGTACAAGGATCTTCTGACTGGGTTACCCACATGTTTGGTGCTGAGTATTGGCCAGCATAAGAAGAGTAATCCTAAAATCTGCATTACCTAGCAGCACTGTAAGGGACTCTGGACTGGCACTTTTTGCTTGTGATTGTATCCATTATTCCTCATAGGAAAACTGTAAGCAGTGCATTTGAATGCAAGATATCAAGCAGAACTCTGTTATAAGTGTATACCAGAAGACATTTACATCTGTTAGCTTGTTAGTGCAGTCATATTCAGGGAGAACTTTTGATCAGTATTCTCATTGTTGCTGTGATGAGAAAAGCTGATATCCAAAGAGGTAGAGGTCTCTGCTAGGCCTGGAGAGAGAAGTGATTAGTTTGGGGACACCCTACAGGGTACAGCCTAAACTTGCACTGGAAGGAAAGAAGACATTTTAAAAGAATGGCATGTTCTTTGCTATATAATTCTAGCACACAACGCTCCCTGAGGAAATACAAGTGCACTAATAAATGTAAGAGGAAAATGCCATGGAAGGCAGTATATCAAAAAGTAATTGATTGGAATATTTAGTGAGCTTAATTTATAGTGCTGAAAGTGAGACAATGGCATACTGCAGAAGTCTGAGGTCTGGAAGGAGAAATTTGCAGTACTTACTGTTCAGCCCTCATCATTACTTCCTAGAAAGGGTGTGTTGGAGCAGCACTGAAGCTGAAACTGGAGGATGTGACTGTATTCCTCATTTTGGTATGCTGTGTAGCTTCAGTGTGTTTTCAGTAACTTGACAGTTTTGAATTAGTAAAAAGCTGAAGAATTGGATTATTAAGCTTCTGGTTTAATGGAAATTGGAACTTCCAAGGAACAGTCTTCTGATTAGGGCTGAAGCTCCTTGAACACTGAGGGTACCGTAATCTCAAAGTGCTGTAAATATCATTTTAACTTACTACTGTGGCTTTAACTGCATTGAATCTGGTCTAGTATTAGATATGGAGGTTGGTGGTGCTGCATGCGGCAGGGTGTTGGAGCTTTGATTCTTGAGGTCCCTTCCAACCTGGGTCACTCTATGATTGTGTGAATGCTTAATAGGGCTAAATTAAGGTCAGTCAATCTGCTGATAACTCCTGTAAAGCTATACGCTTCTGTCTGATCCCCTACATTTTTCACTAATGATTTTATCTTTGATTTAAGTTATGTTTTAAAGTTTTCATTTGAAATTACAATTACTCTTTGTCAGAACCCAGTCATTCCTCTTGTCAAAAAGACATATAATGTATTAGCTTAAGGGCAATTGCTATTAACTACGTAGGTGACATGTTGTTATCTATATAACATGGGCAAGCCTACAT